CTCTGGGGTCATCTAATCCAGGTTAAATAACTTGCTCAAAGTTATACCACTAGTTAGAGGAAGAGCACAGGCACATACTAGTTCACCTGACCTCTGGATAGATCAGGATAATTTTTTTAAACTTTTTGGTGAGGCAATCAGGGTTAAGTGACTTGCCCAGGGTCATACAGCTGGTAAGCGTCAAGTGTCTGAGGCCATATTTGAACTCAGGTCCTCTTGACTCTGATGCTGGAGCTCTATCCACTGCACTACCTAGCTGACCCTGATCAGGATAATTTTTACAAGTGAGGAAAACGAGGTCCAGAAAGAGTGACTCATTGGAGTAATGGGCAGAGCCAGGATTAGAACCTAGGCCCTCTGGCTCCTCACCCAGCACTCCTTCCACTACAGCATGATGAAGGGAAGCCAATCTCACTTGTTGACAGACTTTTAAAACTAATATTGTGGCTGTTTAACATTCATTGAGGAATAAGTAATAAGCATTGTGCCAAACAGAGCCCTGAAAAAAGCTTCCCAGAAAACAAATGTCCCTTTAGGTCATTTTGCTTCTTTTCTAGTTTCATAAAAATTTGTATCATATTCAAAAAATGATTCTGCATTTTCTTTTTTGTTGCAAGTCTAAATACTATATGCTGCTACCATGCATGCAACCTGGCTTGGAAATTGAGAGAGGAGAGGGAAAGTTTTTTTGTTTTCAATTACCCATAACAGAAGTGTCAAACACAAACAATATCTCCAAATGTGGCCTGAAATAGATTAAAATGTAATTGGGAAACATTTAAGAAAATAAATAAGAATATAAATAATGTAGATAACTTTTTTTTTTCAACCACCCAGGCCAAAACCTTTGGAGTCATAACAGTTTAAAGTCACAGATTTAGAGTCAGAAGTTGTAAGGGTAGTTGAAGACCAATTAGTTCTGTTTCCTTAGCTTACAGATGAGGTGAGTGAGGCCCCATTTCAGGAGCCCAAGGTTATTCAGGTAGAGCTAGGATTCAAATCCAGGTCCTCTGAATACAGCTCTAGCACCCTTAGCATTGTTCCACAAATCTTTGACCTTCTCTGTCCAGACCTATCTTCTTCTCTCAGTGTGGTACTGGGAGGAGGGGTTAGTGTCATCCTAGCTCTAGCATCCAGAAGACTATAAGCCCCAATTTGAGTGAAGAAGCATCTAAGAGTCAAGAAAGACAGAGAAGAGGAACAAGTTCCTATTGTAGTATTATGGTGGAGAAGAAGGTCAGAGCCTGGGACTTCTAGAGGCACAATGAGATGGTCTTGGATGAGGATAGGTAAATAGGTAGGACTTTAGGTCTCTGAATACAATATTTCCATTCCTAATGATAACCAGCATTTATATAGTGACTTAAACTCCAATGGTTACCAATCACTTCCAGAATCAAATATAAAATCTTCTGTCTGATGCTCAAAATCTTTCATAACTTGCCCCCAAAACAAAACAAAACAAAAACAAAAACAAAAACAAAAACAAAAACCACATCTTTCCAGTATTCTAACATCTTGCTGCCCACTGTATACTCTGTGATATGGTGACATTAGCCTCTTTACTGTTCTTTGAACAAGATACTGCATCTGTTGACTCCAGGAATTTTCATTGGCTGTCTTCTATGCCTGGAATGCTCTTCCTCCTCATTTCCATCTCTTAGCTTCCCTGGCTTCCTTCAAGTCCCAGTTAAAATTGCATCTTCTCCAGGAAGCCCTTTCCAATTTCTCTTAATTCTAGTGTCTTCTCTCTGTTGATTATTTCTAATTTATTCAATATATTGCTTGTTTGTGCATATTGTTTGGATCTTATCTCCTTGATTAGATTGTAAGCTTCTTGAGGGCAGAGACTGTCTTTTACCCTTTTTTGTATCCCCAGCGCTTAGTACAGTGCCTGGCACGTAGAAGGCATTTAAAAACACTTATTGACTGATTGCTTTAAGGTTTGCAAAGCACTTTATATCTATTTTCTATTATTATGCCTATATCTACTACCATATTATTATAGATCATATTACAGATAAATGTATAATATCTTTGGGCATACAAAGATACATATCTATATATAGTATATAGATAAATATTTTTCTAGGTAATAATAATTATTGAATATTGATTATTATCTGTATAGCTATTATCATATCTATTATGTTGATCCTTATAACAGTCTTGGGAAGTAAATGTTCATATTATCCCCATTTTACACATTAAGAAATTGAGTCTGAATGAGTTTGAATGCCTTGTCCAGGTTTACACAGTTAACCAATATCTAAGGCAAGATCTGAACTTCAGCCTCCCTAGCTCTAAGCCCAGGACTTTATCAATCTCAACAGCAGGAAAGCTGATTTTAGTGAGGTGACCCCAGTCTAGAGCAAACATAGGAGTGAAAGCCAAGATTAGGGCAGAAGCTGAGCTCTAGGAAAGCTAGTGAGATTGGAGCAGGGGCAGAAACAAAATAGGGTCCTCAGAGAACAAGCTGACTTCTCAGTATCTGCTTGTACCAGGGCTGGGAGGCCCCTCTTCCCTTTTGACAAACTGCAGTTGTGTTCTGCTCAGTTTTCTCTGACAACTTCATCCTTTACATCTCAGTCAGGATCAAGTCCTGTCAGTTCTTCAAGATTTCTCTTGAGTTTTCCTCTTCCTTTCCACAACCTATTTACCTGGTGTCAGCTTCTTGAATTTCAGGCATAATTCAATTCATCTGTTATTAACTGCTTACTGTTGGCCAGACAGTATGCTGGAGAAAAGAGCTAGTGTAGCCAGAAGGAAAAAAATAAGATGTTGAAGGACAGCCTAACAACCTAAAAAGTGGCATCAAAAATTACAAGAAAGGGGGAGAATTAAGAAAATTTAAATTATATACATAGTATGGCTTCTCTGACATAAATTTGGCAAACCATTGTCTGTTTTAGCCCTTGACTCTCTGTACCCCTCCCATTCTCTCTTTTCTGGCCACAACTGCCCTAGATTATCTCCTCCAATGAGAACACAAACTTCCTGAGGGCAAAAATTGTATTTGTATCCCCCAAAGCCTAGTACAGTGCCTGGCTCATACTTTGCATTTAAATGCTTTTTCATTCATTCATTTATTCATTTGTTCATTCATTTATTCGTTTTTTCATTCATCCATGAAAACATTAGGAAAAATGCATGCCCTTCATCAATATTTGGGACATATTTCTGTTACATTACTGGCATTTGGGGTGAATGCAGATGCAAAAATGTCTTCCACATTTAGAACTTAGGTCCTCAGACTCTTTGTGTGTTCTGTCACTTATTGTGTTAATCAAGATTAAAGTACATAGTGCAATAGATAAGCATTGTGGTCCTTCTGCTCTATGAGAGGATAATGGCAGATTAATGGAACTCTTTTATGCAAATAGATGTTACTGCCTCTGCTTTGTTTATTAGTGTCATTACCTGAGGACAAGGTAAACTTAGTTTGGGTATTCAAAGTGAAGTATAGTTCAATAAAACTCCTTTCCTTTCTCTACAAAACTCCATGCTTTGTATTAACTACATTGAATACGAATCAATGGAGGGCTACCACATCCATAAAAATTTTATGCCCAGTATATGTTATTTGTTCAAAAAGTCAAGAAACCACTGGAGAAACACACATGTGCACACACACACACACACACACACACACGCACACACACACAAGAAATTCTCACAGGCCCAGGTTCTCATTCCTAGTGCTGTCTTTCTAAATTAGGAAACATTTAGAAGGCAAACCTAAGAGAAGGACAAAATATTCCTTCGGTAGAAGGCAGGTAATTATGAAAGGCACATTAACACTTTTGAGAGGCTGCAGGCAGGGATAGTGAAGGAAAATAGAAGTCGGGAAGACCAAGGTTTAAGCTGAGGGTTTAAGAGGCTGTGTGACCCTTGGCAAGTAAGTTAATTTCAGATTAAGATGGCAACTCTCTCAGACTATTAGTTGCCTAGGGGAATATGCATTGGTAGAGTTTCCTCACTGAGAGTTCCTATGACCAATGAAATCAGAGATCCAGTCTAAAACTTAGTCATTTTAAAGAAAGATCTCGCCTGGCCCCTCCTTCTCTCATTCAAATTCAAAAATGAGAATAACTATAGAACTCTTGAGGCCATTCACTTAATTTTTTTCAATAAGTTTAGCACTAGGCTTAAGGTCTTCTTCTCCATTGGCAACCCTAGTCATCATCTTCAATGACTTCAGTGACCATCTGATGCCCCTCCCTGACATACATACAGAGTTCCTCTAATTCTTCAACACCATTGATCTTCTTCTGACCCCTTCTTTAGCTATATACCAACACACTAACACTTTTAACCTCACTATCTTTCAAAATCTTTTCAAAACCATGGTCAAGGTCTGAAACTTGACAATTTAACTCTGACCACAATCTCTATTCTTCTACCTTACTTATTCTACCATTCACATCAAACTACTCTGTATCCCTACCATGACTTTGGCCCCTCCATAGAAGACAGCATGCTATTGTGCAGTAATATCTAAAGTCGGGGTATATCCTAACTCCAAGCAGACCAGGGTCTGACTTTAAGAGGTAATTCACATAGGCACTAATCACACTGCTAGGAAAAATTTAGATAGCTTTGTCAAATATGTCGTAGAGAGACTATTTTAATTAACTTCATATCTTTTCTTTATACCATTTCACACAGCACAGCAGGAACTTAATAAATGCTTATTAAATGTTGAACTTTCCCCACAGCAGCTTAATTGCTAAACGGTTTTAGGCAGGGGCCTTTGAGGTGAAGCCAGGCTACAGCAGAAATCACTGACCACATCCTTTAAGGCTTACTGCCAGGGAATTAAAAAAAAAACTTTAAATCTATCTCTCTACAGCAGAATTTTATTAGAAAGTATGTTCTGCTCAGAAATGGTTCATTTCAAAGCAGTGCATTTAAAAAGCAGGACACAATACAATTTTGGTGAATGATTTTTTAAAAAATTAATAGATACAAAAACACAAAACAATAGCCCACAAACCTACCATTTGCCTTCTTCATTTTCATATTGTTGAACTGTGTATCCAAACATGTCCTCCACTGGGCCACTGAAGGTCATTGCATTTTTCACATCCACGTTGAAGGGTACACAGAAGTCCAAGACCACTTTAAGAAGGAAAATGAAAGGTTCAATGACACAATGAGCAACATACTCCCTTCATGTTTTGAATTAAAGATAGTGTTCTTGTGGTTGCAATGCTTTTGTTAGAAAGGGCAATTTTGACACTTAAAGTCTGAGAACTCCAAGAAAGTCAATCCACATGAACTTGGGTTTGCTTTTATATTGACTCAATGTCAATGCAAAGTTTTTTACTGAATACAAATGAAGGATTCATACTCTAAGTAGAAACCATAGTTACTTGGCATCTATACCATTCTCAGATATATAGATTTTAAAAGATATGAGAACTAGCTGGTGGAAGCTCATATGACCCCAAGACTGAAACAAATGGTAGCAGATTAATTTTGCACTGGGGACTCCTCCAACAAATTATGGCCACAAATGGAATGTAAACAGCCAGCTTTTCCCATTTCAAGTACATCATATGCAATAATATTGTCTTCCAAAGTTCCTGGCAGGAGAGAAAGCTTTCCATCTGCTCTTCTTTTAGGAGAAGGTTGCTACTTGTTTCCAGTCCCATATGAACTAATGGGAGACTGCTTCCTGCAGGTCTATGCCTTTCTTACGTTTACCTTTCTAGATGGAAGAATCAGGCTGTGAAGCTAGTACTTCGGTAATTAAGAAAGATAACTAAAAATTGTGAGCTGTCTTGGTTTCATAACAAAGAAATCCTATTGTAGGGCTGTGAGTGAATAATGAGTGAAGAACTTTTGGCTCCAGAGTGATTCCCATGATTGGATTGTATCCAAATAGAAACAGCCTTATATTAACTATTCATTTTTAATGTTCTATGCCATAATAACAACATTTCAAAATTATCTTTTTTAAGTAACTACTACATTTTGTTTCCTCAAAAAGTACTGATTAAGGAATTGGAAAGTTATGTATTTTCAGAGGTTTTCATCCTCAGCATTTAGCACAGTGCATTGTAGATAGGGCACATTGCATTGTCCATCCCACCTTTGGACTGACACTCCCCCTTTACTCCCCACCCCACGCTATCTCAACCAGGCTATGGTTAAATCAGCTCCGACAGTTTCTTTTTCCACTTGTTAAAGATGTCTAAGGAAAGGGTTTCAAGGATGCGTAACGCATGTAGTTCGTAACCCATGTAGCTTACAAGTTCTTTAAATGGAACTTGAAGCCAGATTACTGTAATTCATTATTATAAAAAGCAATTGACATGTATTAAATGCTTGTGTAAGATTTTACATAATATAGAGATGTTGTTAACTAGAAAAAGGAAATAACATATACACACTTAGCCATATTCTTCACAAAGCCTAGATTGATTACCTCCGACTAGAACATCCCTGTCCTCAGAATACTTGTTTGTATGATTTTTACATCCCTAAAAACAGTTTCATATTAAAGTTATTTTCACATTTCTTTCTCCCCTCCACCAGAAGCATGGACCATTCTGATTAATTTTCATTCCTTTCTCAGTGTCTGGCACATAGTAGGTATTCAGAAAACACGATAGATTTTTGTTTGTTCTTCATTCTCAAAGAGGATCAATGACATCAGGAAGGTGACGTCGTGACTTGCAAGTGCATTGGATTTCAGGAAGGCAGAGCTGTGTGAGGTCATCAGCTTCACTCTCTCCTCCAAAGTCGACAGAGTCCAGTGGCAAGGTATAGATCAGGATGACTGGCGATGGCCCCAGATGCTGTGGGAGACCTTGGCCTTGGTCCAGTCGTCCTGATCTATATCTTGCCACTGGACCCAGATGACTCAGGAGGAGAGAGTGAGGCTGGTGATTTTGAACAGCCCTCCCTCACTTAAATCCAGTTCACTTGCAAGTAACGACATCACCTTCCTGATGTCATTGGTTCTCTTTGAGAATGTAGGACAAACAGCAATAAGAAAATATTATCTGAATGAATGAACAAAAACACACACAGAGGGACGTGTCAACTGCAGATAAAGCATCACCACCCAGTTCTGCCTAGTCAGGGAATGCCATACAGAAGAGGTGAGGTTAGAGTTAGGTTTTAAGAGAAAGAAGGAACGTGCATTTGGCAGGTGAGAAAAAAATGCTCTTCCAAGAATTTGGGAGTGTCTGTGTAAATATAAAGTGGAGGAAGGAAGAACTACACTTGGCAGACCATCAGGAGATTTGCCTGGTGGGAGGTGAGGGTACAGATCAAGTGGACGGGTAGTGTAGACCCATGCAAGCATTTCCTGTGCAGGCCTCAAAAGAGATGGGGAACAGCTGCTTGCCATCTTCTGTGTTATAGCCTTTTCTATATTGTAAGACAGTTTAAAGACACTCCTCTTTTTCTCTTCTCCAAACTAAATAAAAACAGTTTCTTCGCCCTTTCCTCAGAGGTTCTGGTTCCCTTTGATCATTTTTTTTATTGCTGTCCTCTACTCCCTCCCACACTGTTCTTAGATGGGAAGTCCCCAAATGGGCACTAGGCTCAGATGGAGCTGAAGCAGTGCTATGTGTGTGGAGAAGGTAACTTTGTTGTCAAGACAGGTCCTAGACAAATTATGGGATTGTAGAACCACAGATGCAGAGTTTCAAGGGACCTTAGGGGGTCATCAACTCAACACCATCGTTTTACAGATGAGGACAGTGAAGCCCAGAAGGATGACTTACTTAAGGTCACATAAGTAGTGAGATTCAAACCCAGAACTTGTAACTACAAATCCCACACTGATTGCACCTCTTCCACTGCTTGCATCTCAAACTCAACATTTCCAAAACAGAACTCATCAACTTTCCTTCTTTATCTGTCTCTTCTCTATTTCTGTCAAGTGTACCACCATTCTTCCTGTCAGCTGCTTTTGCAACCTAGGAATCATCATTAATAATTCTCCTTCACCCCCTACATCCAATCAGTTACCAAATCTTGCTTATTCTAAATCCTAAACATTTCCCCCATCTGTCCTCTTGTATTTACATTTATCCACATCCACCCTAGTGTAGAGCCCAATACTTCTCATAGTGTTCTATAATTTCTTTGTGACACCATTTGGAGTTTTCTTGGCAAGGATTCTGCAGTGGTTTGCCATTTCCTTCCTCAGCTCGTTTGCAGATGAGGAAACTGAGGCAAACAGGGTTTAAGTGACTTGCTATGGTCACACAACTAGTAAGTGCCTGAGGCTGGATTTGAACTCAGGAAGATGAGTCTTCCTGACTCTAAGCCTGGCACTCTAGCCACAGCACCACCTAGCTGCCCCTCATGTGAGCTACTGCAAAAGCCTCCTAACTGGTCTATCTGAATCCAAGCTCCACAGTCTCTGCTTCACACAGCTGCCCAATGGATATTCCTAAGGTACAGGTCTAAGCATGTCACTTATCTGTTCAAGAAACCTCAGCTTGCCCCACCAACAACTCCATTGCCTTTAAGATGAAGTACAAATTCTTCTGATCCGAATTTAGCACCCTTCACAACTTTGCTCCAGTTATCTTTCCAGGCTGAAACGCTTCCCCTCTTAGCTAGGACTATCTCATTTTGTATTTGTAACCTATCATACCATTACTTATCATATTATTGTGGCTGTTCAATCATTTTTCAGTTGTGTCTAACTCTTCATGACTCTTTTGGGGTTTTCTTGGCAAAGGTATGGGAGTGGTTTGCCATTTCCTTCTGCAGTCAGTTTTACAGATGAGGAAACTGAGGCAAATCAGGTTAAGTGACTTGCCCAGGGTCGCACAGGTAGTAAGTGTCTGAGGCCAGATTTAAACTCAGGTAGTCCTGGGCCAGAACTCTATCTAACTTGCTGCCCATGTATCAATTGGTAGATGCTTAATAATTGCTTATAAATTAATATATGTTGTAATATCATATTGGATGTCTTGTGTTCCAGTTTTACGTACTTCAGGAAGTGATGTCAAAATCAGGTGTATGAAACTTCAATATGTGCATACATTATGTTCATTGATTAGGGGTCTGAAGAGAGGTTTTCCTGATTCTTAGTGGTACTTCACTATCCCTCATTTAAACAAATCCAAGAATGTTTCTGGTGGGCCGTTATCTAAAGCTAGGTTCCTCCTGTCTAGGACTACACCTGGAAGCTGAAACATGATTCTGATCCATTGGAGTGATGGAAAACATAGGCATAGGAAGTACCAACTTCCTGGAGCAACTTCCAGGATCCAGGTCAGGCCTGGAGCTGAATTTACTACGCCCTGTTATAGCAGGGTGCCATTGTCATCAACCCTGGCGTAATCAGAGCTACAAGATTTCTCCTCTCCGCCCCCTCCAATTTATCAAGATTCTCTACTTACCTTCTTGCCAATCTCTATTTCTGATAACATGTATTCTACCTAGAGGCTGTCTTGAAAGATTAGGAGAACAAGTGTGTTCACCACAGCAGGTAGAAATTGGAAGTTTTTTTTCCCAAACTGAAACTATGATACAGATACACGGTGGAATATTATATAATTGGTGTCTTGGGATTGGATTAAAAATTATTTTATGGGCTATCCAGATTGGATCCAGCTTTTACTACAGATTTTCAGTTGTCTGGGAGGCTCAGGAGTACATCTCAGTCTGGGTTATGATGCGTTGTGGCCATATTTTATGGGGCTCAGATGTTTTTAAAAAGTGAGATCTTTTCTTTTACTGCATCTACTTTTATAGCAAGCAAGAGATAAGAGCGCCTGGGACAGTGGTAGGGTTGGCAGAGATTGAGGGTGGGAGGAAGAGAAAAATAAATTGGAATTAAATAGGGAAGAAAGATGAAGAGGAAAGAGAAGGGGAAAATTATGATAAAGTGTTAACTGTCAAGGATTTCATGCTCATTTCAAGCTAATGATTTCATCAAGAATAGGTTATGAATCACCACTAATTTGGAAAAAAGACTAAATATTCTGAAAAAAGGGAAATCTCCATTTATTAGAAGAGAAACATCTTACTCCTCCTGGCTATCTCTCCTTGAAGCTCCTGGCCCTTTCTTGGAGCTGTGTAAGAAGAGATCAGTAATTTTCACCATTCAGATTTTTCTTATCAAAGATGATGTCAGTTTTCAG